GCTTTACCATCTCCCTTAACCAGAAGCCTGGAGAAGACTGCTTGAAGATCTGCCATTGAAGAATGTGCCGCAGAACTCTTAGGTCTTGCTCCTCCCACCGGCAACGAAGCACTTTCTTGAAGAGATTCTTTAGCCTCTTTCCTCTGTTGTTCCTTCTCCTTGCGTCTATGCGCTGCACGGGTCATTCTTTGCTCTTTAATCTCTGCTTGTCGGGACCACTCCAACTGTAACTCTCCAACCGCCATCACACCTGGTCCTTCAGACTGCTGTTCAACCTCTTTACCATCCAGAACTTTCTGCATCATGGATGATGGTGAGCCTGCTCCCAGGACCGAACTGTAAAACTCCTTTGCTTTAGTGACTGTATTAAGTCTATAACGCGTCCCCGCATGGCTCAGAACAATACCCATCAGAATCTCCCATCTGAATGGCATCATTCTTTTTTTAAGTTCATTAGATAAGAAAGCAAAATCTTTTCTCTTTCTTAGAATTTTAGATGGGATCTCCTTTAAAATAATAACATCTTGAGCAGCAATATGGAATCTCTTATTATAGAAGGCTTGTATGATTTCATTGCGCAGAGATCTCTTTCCAAAATAAACCACCACATCTCTTGGTAAATTTCTCTGTTTTGCAATCCAGGAATTAACTCTAAATAATTTTTCAACCTCTCTGCGTATTTCCTCTTTCTCCCTATTCAAAATAACAGCAGTCATTTACCACAATCTCTCTCAAATCTTGCTGCATATCTTCTTTCAGACCCCTAATTCTTAAGGCATATTCCATTTCTCTGTACCGAGACATAACAATGTCATCCTGTGAAATTTCCATCTTTTTTTCCATGCCTTCAAACCTATCTTCCAAGATGTCAACCTTGTCTTCAACCTCTTCAACTCCAGAGTCAAGCTTCTCAACCACAGAAGCAAGTCCTGATAGAGCCATAACTATATCTTGCCTCAAAATAGTGTTATTCTGCTCCAACAGATTCTTCACTTCCCCTCTAATTTCAGTTTTATTCTGATCTAGAAGCTCCTTCATTTCCCCTCTGATTTGAGTTACTGCATTTCCCATTATGTCTTTCATATCTTGTACAGATATTACTGGCAAAGGAGGAGAAGATGGTGGTGTAGCTTTAGGTTGTTGTACCGGTAAGATCGCAGGAGAAGAAGCCACCTTAGGAACTGTAGAAGCTGCTTGCCTTTTTGAAGCCATTTTTTTTTAAAAAAAATTTTTTTTCTTATTTCCACTTTATAAAAAAAATACTCAAAGAATTAAAAAAAATAAAGGAGAGTTTAAAAGATATTTCAAAAACACAAAACCACTTTCAGAAAAAGAGGAAAAAGTTTTAAAAAAAAACTATATAGTCCATAACATTCCGTTTGACTCACTTTCTTTTTCTCCTGAAAAAAACTTTCAAATTGCCATTTTACTTTCACTCTCCACACAAACAAAAAAAAAACAAAAAGAAAAAGATCAACCTAAACTAAAAAGCAAATAAAACTCAATAAGTCAAATCCTTTATCCAGCTCTGTCCGCTTTATATAAAAAAAATCACTCACCCTATCCCTTTAAGCGCGGAAATGGTAGCGGCGTTTCACTTTGTTCCCAGAGGAAACAAAGACAGCTGGGAGGCGGAGGCAACCCGAACTCTGAGGGAGCTCTCTTTCTACCCCCCCAAAAAAATCCCTGGGGGGGTTGAGATGCTCTACCTCTATTTGGGTGGTTCTCTCCCCCCTCCCTTCGCCCGGGAGGGGGATTTCGAGCCGCAGAACAGCTGGTGACTGCTGTATTCCGGGGTTCTCACGCTGACCCAGGAGGACGGCTACAATGTAGCCGCCATCATCGACGCTAACCACCCGATCAATAATTGAGGGATATTTGTGATAAAAGTCATATTTACATTTTAAGATTTTCCTCTGTGAAATAGGAACCGGGAAGAACAGAATCTGGTAGCCTACCCTCATGATGGAAAGATTTACTTCTGCACTTCACGTGACATCCCTCCAGACCATGAGCTCCTTTTTTACTATAGTCGTGACTATGCCCGGCAGATTGGTAAGCAGTTAGTTTCCAAATATGGCATTCTCCAAATGTTTTAGATTTAGACTGTAGCTAAATCTAGGCCTGGAACATTGACCATACTGAAAATTATTTCTGGAAGTATGATCCAAGTGGGGAGCTTAAATATGATATGAATAAAATTTTAGCTTATGATTTATATATTCCTCTATCAGATCTGATTGGATTTAGTAATAAGCTATTCCCTTTCTTCATATTTCAACAAAATATAAGATTGAAGCTTATGCATTTTAAATTCATAATGCCTTTTGTTATATTCCTGTTATTTTGGGGGTTTGTACTTTATGCTGCATCATACACAATTACCTCTCTTAAAGGTGTTCCTGAGCATCCTGATGTGCACACTTGTCACTGCGGAAAAGAATGTGCCTCTTACGCAGAGTTTAAGGTCCATCTGAGTAGTCATCTCCACAGCCACTTCCCCAGTCAAGAACACAGCAGTACCCATGGATCAGGACACAGTAAGGAAAGGAAATGGAAATGCTCTATGTGCCCTCAAGCTTTTATATCACCTTCTAAGCTTCATGTTCACTTCATGGGACATATAGGCATGAAGCCACACAAGTGTGATTTCTGTAGCAAGGCCTTTAGTGACCCTAGCAATTTGCGTACTCATCTTAAAATCCATACAGGTAAGTGAGGAAGAACAAATTTAAAGTTCTTTTTCCAAACAAGTATTTAGAACCTCTATTGAACTATATTGTTACAGTGAAGACTGGTCATTTGTTCTTTCTTAGAATGGAAAATTGTGTTGCCTTGTTTTTAAGATTTGATCATGTGTGACATACTGTATTTCAAAGACCAATTGGATTTTGATTTTGGATGTGACCTCCCAAATTTTTAAGTGACTATCTTTAGGAAACTATTTTTCTTTTGTCCTTTTGCTAGAGATAGAGTTGAAGAAGCATAAAACTAAAAGAACCTAACAAAGAGCAGAATATCTAGAAATTTTAGAAAAGCAACTTGGAAATCTCTGAATAATTGGAGTTATGTGTAGTTTGTTGCCTATAGCACAACATAAGATTCATGCATATTACATGCTGTTAGTTACTTACACACCACTATAATCTATTGTATAGCCCTATTGTAATATTAAGCATGTTGATAACTTGGAATTTCAATTATAGTTACTGTTCTGTGAACTGGATGAAATGATCTTATGTAAAACTTTGTCTCTTCAGGTCAAAAAAACTATCGCTGTGCACTCTGTGAAAAATCTTTTACTCAGAAGGCACACCTAGAAACACATATGGTTATCCACACTGGAGAAAAAAATCTGAAATGTGATTATTGCGATAAACTATTTATGCGGCGTCAAGATCTCAAGCAGCATGTGCTCACCCATACACAGTGAGTCATTCAGGAGACATTCCAAATTATTTGTGTGTGTTTATTTGTGTGTTTAATTTATTGCCTACAAACTAAAGAGGTTCTTTTTAAAAGACTCATGATAGTAATAGGAGTGACAGTTCTCAGAAGAAACCCAGATTTATCAGAAGAAAAAAGTATTATGGTAAATAGTGTCAAAATGAAGGCTGATAAGCTGGTATTTAATTCCCTTATCAAAAAAGCATATGAAAACCCCTGATGAGTGGCAGAGATCAATGATGACCATTGTATATATAAGACTGTTATTTGGAACAGAAGAGGAGTAAATGGTAAAGGGCATGAATTAATTTGTGACACAAAATTAAAGATACATTGCGCACCTGTGAAACTGAGAAATATAAATCTCATTGGAAAATGTAGTCTTGTGGAAATAATTCATGCAAATACTTGAAAGTGTAGGTTTAATTATGAATGAAAACCTAAAACCAAGTGTATTGTAAATGCACATGAAAGTAAGAATTCATGGATTTGAGATTGTTGCATGTTACACTTCATTTAATGGTGAAAATAGAAGAACTAACGATGAGTTTTGTGAAAATTTATGCAATTAGGAAAAATGTATTTTGCTAGATAACACAAATGTGGGAATGAATATAGAAAAATGTTTGGGCTATTCTGACATGAAATGGTGGTTGGATGAGTATCTGTTTAAGTAAAAGTCTATTTTGATTATAAAATTAAGTATAAGGCTATTCATATACACGTTAAAGGAATTAATATAAAAACTATGGTAAGTTTGATTATAAAGAAATGAGAGATCTTACAAGAATGATAAGAGATTCTGAATGTGACACAAACCATTTTTGCTAGTATCAAAAGAGGATTTTGGTTGAAAATGGATATATAAGAAACAGAAACTGACTAATCTATGTCCCATAAGCCTTCAAATTCAAAAGAACTATCAAATATATAAAAAAATGTCTTCATGTTCTCATGACTAAAATGTTGTATCTCTTTTCCATACCCATTCCTGTTTAGAGAGCGTCAAATCAAATGTCCACAATGTGAGAAGCTATTTTTAAGGACAAATCACCTAAAGAAACATTTAAACTCTCACGAAGGAAAAAGGGATTATGTGTGTGAAAAGTGCTCTAAGGCTTACTTAACAAAATACCACCTTACTCGCCATCTAAAAATTTGTAAAGGACCAACCTCTACTCTCTCAGCCCAAGAAGAGGAGGAGGAAGGTTCTTCGGAGGAGGAAGAATTGATAAATTCTACAACAAATGAAAATTGCCAACTCGGAACCACCATGTATGTGACGGCTGATACACTTTCTTGTCACAAATAAAACAATTTCTAAAATTATTGTTTATTTAAACTTCCACTCAGTGGCCATAATTCTCATCTATAATGAAAACGGCTTATCTGTTTTCAGAGTGATTGCCAAGAACATTAAAATAATATAATTACCATGTTCATCTATTAAAATGGTATCAGTGGTGACTTGGATGCATGATGGATACAGCTGAAACAGCATCAGCTGTCTCTGCTAAAGATATCTTTAATGTGAAAATATGCACAAACCAAACTTTTTTCATTAAAGTGCTTTTTTATTGAAAAAAAGCTCGTAGTTTAACTTAGTTCATTAAATTGATATTTGTTGTATAACAGTGAATTTTTTGCTCATTTGTTGACAACTGAGCATTCACAGAGAATTAGAAAACAAAAATACAGTATGGGAAACAGAGTAAGGCATGCTAATGCTTGTGTTTGAAATGCAAGCTTAGTTTTAGCATGAATTTTACATACAAAGGTTATTCATATTGCTTTGTCTATACTGCATCTGATAACCACTTATTTTAAAAGGGAAATTATGCTGCTATTATATTTATGGAATGAAGCTATCGTTAAGATTTGTTTTCTTATAGAAAATTAAAATACTGCTTTTTAATGTGTGTACTCGTTATTTTTTTCCCTCCTTTCAATTTTTTCCAGTATATTAGAAATTGTTTTTTCATCATAGCATTTTTGCTTTATTAAACCATTTATTTATCTATACGTGATGAACTTCAGTCAATGTTAAGTATACTGACATTGATGGTTTTCCTAGAAGTATGTTTAAATTAATGGTCTGAATCAAAGAGATGAGAGCCATGGTATAGTAATTAAGGCATCAGATACTGGAAGACCATGAATTCTAGTCCCACTTTGGATACAAAGCCAGATGGGTGACCTTGAGCCAGTCACTTTCTCTGAGCCCTAGGAAGGAAGCAATGGCAAACTACCTCTGAAAAAACAAACAATCTCCAAGAATTGAATACAAATGGAAAGGAGGGGGGGAGAGAAAATCTCAATATTGTTAATCTTAGCCATTTTTTATGTCAGACTGGATGTTATTAATTAGCATATGCCTATACTATAAATATAATATATTTATATAAGATCAGAGAATCATGCTCTCACAAGGTATCCAGTCCTGGTTAATAATAATGCATTTAAAATCTTCCACAATGTAGAGAGCGTCCTTTAAATTCTCAGAAAACTGGCCTTTAAATAATAGCTTTTAAACCACAAACAGTGTCAAAGGAATTAAGTAGCTGTTACATACATCAGAATGCCTAAGTATATCTTAATACAAATGAATATGTTCAGAAAATTAATTTATTTTATTATATTATTGCTAGTGTTTTTGTGTTTTACATATTCCAATTTCTAGCTGGTTAACACGTCAGAAATGTTTTAAGTAACATGACCTTAAAAGCAGGTAAAAAAGTGGTTTACTTATATCTTCATAAAAAAATTATGCTTATTTCATGATTCCATTGTAGCTTCCCCATAGCTGCTACTACTATTAGCAGACTTACTTCCTTCAGAACCTGATGTGGTAACTGTTAGCCTCTGTCGAGTTCCAAAAACATCATTCACTATAATGCCAAAAAGAGAGAGAGAGAAAGGTTAAAAATTCTAATTTTAAAGAAGAAATTGACCTATTTTTTAGGATTACAAAACTAGAAAATGAGCCAGAACAGTCACCTGTAGAAATAGTACTTATGTCCCAGAGCTGTAGTCCCTGCCTTTCTCCTCCAAATGCATAGACAAATGGTAGATCTGGACAGCAAGCTGCACAAAACAGAGCACCCTGTGGGAGAAGACACATTCTCTTCTGATTTTCTGCTAACTCAACATATAGCTATCTTTTAACAAACACATTTCTAATTCAAATCAGTGAACTAAAATCAAAATTAGCAGAGGTTGCACATATCCAACGTCTTTAGACTGTATTAGAACGGGTGTCAAACTGCCGGCCCGCGGGCCTGTTGCATTATACAAAGGCCGCTCCCACTTTATTTCACGTAAATATTATACACAATATTAAGTTAGTAAATTACAATATTAATAGACCAGATCTCACCACTTTGATTCTTCACTCACTTCAAAAATTAAGGCTTTATAGGTATAACTGCAGAAAAACTGAAATTACCATTTTCATATCTCTGGAATAGACTAAAGATGGCTTATTTCCTAGGATGTCCCAAATTTTCACACATTTATCAGATGATGTTGTTACAAGACATCCTTTGATTTGGCTACTTAAGTGTAGTCCTGGAAAACATAAGCAGGTGCTTTTAGTATTAAGTCAGGAAGAAAACAGAACACTCTTGTCTATAGGCATTCTTTTAAGTTAAGGGATCTATGATTTAAAGGCACCCCACATTTATGGTGCAGCAATACCAACTGAAACGCAACTTGTTCTATTGCCATTAGAAAAGACAAAGGTACTTAAAAATTTGACAAATATATCAAAATCTAGAATAATTCATTTCATTTAAGTTATTACTGGTAGATATATATATAGCCACCCAGCTCATGAAATATAATTCTGGATACCAACATATTAAGAATTAAAACCATATAACACACACACCCCCAAAAAATTCCAAAACAAAGAATGTGGAAGAAAACAATCAGTTGACATTACATAACCATCTTGCAGGCTCATTATGGGATCCCAAAGTGAATGGAAAATTTTAAGGGCCTTCTAGAAAGTAGACAGGGATGGGGCCAATCTCATCTCAGGGAGAATGATGTTCCAGAGCAGGGGCCACAGTAGAAAAGGCACACCATCTGGGTCTTGCCAGATGGAATTTCTTAGTGATAACACTCAACGCATACCCCTCCTGCCTAACATGATGGGATTGGTGGCTATAATCAAAGAGAGGCGGTCCATCAAATAACATGATCCCGTGCAATGTAGGGCTTTAAAGATCAAAAGCAACACCTAGAATTGGACACCAAACAAACTGGCAAGCAGTGCATCTTGCAGAATAAAGATATAATGTTCATCTTGCTGGGGGGGGGGAGGAGAGTCAAGAGAGCAAGGACAGATGTACTTCTCCTGTCCTGCTGTCACTTAGAATTCAAAAGTGTGGCTAATGCCAAATCTAGGCAATGGCCAAAATCTGAATCCTGACTGTAAAGGGTCAGATAATCAGCTTTATCCAGCTGATAGAAGCTGCTGCACAACCTAGAAAAAGGAAGTTAAATACTGGATGAAAATAGTCCAGTATGGTGGGCTCCAGGAATGGCTTTGTGATGACCCAGGGCACAGCACAGAGGCAACATAGTCAGCTGGCAGTTCAAACCGCCCTTTAATTGCTCCAAATTTCCCCCAAATGCTCCCACGTTTTTGGCAAGCCCCAGAACACAGTAAGACACATACACTTTCAGCAGCTCTGGCTGCAAGTAGTTTCACAAGTTTTTAACTCTTCAGGCAGTTCCCTCCTTCTCTCCATTCTGTGCTCTAGGATCAGGAGGGGGTGGCCTTTGCTCATCACCTGAGCTCTGTCTCTCATGTTCATCCTGTCCCAATCCTGAAAGGCCCTGGCCTGCCTCAGCCTGCTCTTCCCCACATTCCTCTGAAGCCACAGAAACCTCTCTCTTGACTTCCATAGGGTCCTGTTCCAGCTCATTTTCCTCAGCAGATTCAGGCGCTGACGGGCAAGACAATGTCTCCTTAAAGGGCAGCAGAACAACCAATCTCTCAAAGAGTTAATTATTACTAGGATCCAACCAAATATCGCATGTTCTTTAGGCACTGTAAAATGGCAAATACAAATTTGCCTCAAAAATATGATATAACTATATATCTGACTAGAATGGGGTTTCCTTAGGAAATGGGGAAAATAAAGGCTTACCAGATACTTCTTCATCATGAGCTTTCATTGTGAAGACTGGTTTATGGGAACGAGCATCAAGACAATACACAAATCCATCTTCTGTGCTAGCCTACAACAAATCATTTCCAGAGATTTTAAAAATAAAATCAACAGGCAAGCCACCTTTCTCAATCTGCATGATCTTTTGGAGGTATGGACTTGAAATCCCAGAACCGAACCATCCAGCTTGAATGGCCATTGTAGAGAATTCTGGAAGCTGAAAGGGCAGTGTTGAAGTTGGGAAACACTACATAGAATAAACAGCTGGATGTTTGATGGCCAACTCTAACCATGCAGGTACTGTTATTCTTGATTTGATAACAAACCTATGGCAGAATAACTTGATATATTTGAGTAGATTTTACACTTCACTGTCAGGAACCTCTACATTACCAAAGCATCTCTTAATGAAATAAAGGTAATATAGCATTATCAAATCCCAAGCAGCAAGATTTCCATTTATTAGTGTTTTTACTATAATATACATTATTTTATGTCTTAAAATATGCTGGTTGCCTTGAAAATCTTGGATGATAGATATAATAGGACTGTGCAACACTTCAGATTCTAAAGAAAACAGATGCTTCCAAGAGTACACAGGGACACCTGTTGCTAGGGTCACTAACCTGAAACCCTTTAATCAACTTTTTCCAAAGATTGCCCTGCACTTATAGTAATAGCAATAGCACTTAGACTTATGTACCACTTCATAGTTCTTTACAGCCCTCTCTACACGATTTTCAGAGTCAGCATATTGCCTCCAACAATCTGGGTCCTCATTGTACCAACAGAAGGCTGAGTCAACCTTGAGCCAGTCAGGATCAAATTGCTAACTACGGGCAGAGTTAGCCTGCAATACTGCATTCTAACCACTGTGCCACTACAGCTCATCAGAACTTATATGATGCAGTTAGGAAAGGATGCAAATGCAATGCACCCACGCCTGATCCTGTGAAGCACTTTCTTTTTATCTTAATTACTTATTTAATAGGTTTTAGGGCTGCCTAACTTAAACAATATGACTCTGGATGGCGTACGACGAATTGAATTGAAATGCTACATAGCCTGCATAAATGCATACAATAGAATGGACAACACAAAACACAAAGAACCATCAGGTATTGTATTTACTAAGAAGTGGTGAGGTGAAAAATGATTCCAAGTCACTCTTTCAACTTGTCCACTAAATCTCCAGATTCTATGGTTGTCCTGTGGACTTCTGCAGTCATATAGAATGGCTGATCTGAAAAGTACCAATAAATATTTATTCAAATTTGGCACAAGATTTTTTTAAACATTATAAACTAAAATTAATTTACCTATGAGACACAGAAAGGTCATTTTTTCTAACAATAAAATACTTCTATTCTAGCTGAGTCATTAGTAAAAGATACAGCAATCTCACTGATTATAAAAGTAATAAACAGTGAAGGCAAACCTATTAAGTGAAATTACTGACTTCAAATGGTCTTGTTTCTAATTAAGTATGCAGAGAATGCTAATGCAACCTGATGCTAAAATCAGGGTGACCATTCCCATTAAGAATACACTTCCATAAATCATACCAAAATTCTAGTACGTGCTTTAAAAAGTCAATGTTAACAAAATATTCTGTGTCAAATAGCTTATGAAGGAAATACAGGTGGTCCTTGACTTACAACTGTAATGGAATCTACTTATTATGGTTGTAAGTCCTGATAGTTATAAAATGGGTTACTCATATAACCAATCCCATATTATATATATATATATATATATATATATATATATATATATATATATATATATATATATATATATATATATATGTGGCAGTTAAACAACAATGGAGACTGTAAACCAAACCCATTGTTTGGTATGGGACCTGAAAATGAAACGAACACCAGGTTTTGGCAAAAATGTTGTAAATTGTGGTCATGTGACTACAGGACACTGCAAATAGGCATAATACAGGTCAAGTGCTTGAAATGCTGTCACATGACCATGGGTGGGCTTGCCATCGAATGTCATAAAGTACCTTTTTCAGGTGTTGTCATAACTTCAAATGATTAGTAAGTGACCAGTTGCACGTCAAGGACTATTTATATTACATTTTATTATTAATCTCTGCCACTGTATGGTTTATATATTACCTGTACTTTTATATGTGTGATAGACGCAATAGAACAAGCTTGTTCTTACTTGTCATAAGAGCCAGAAATGAGAGTCTGTGTTTCAAATGGATGAAATTGCAATGTTTGCACCTAAAAATAACAAATATATTTGTATCAAAATGTAGTTTTACAGTGTACATGATTTTAAATAATTCTCACTATATTTTTTTCACAAACGGAGAGGAGTGTTCAATGATCTGTTTAACTGCTAATTTAAAACAGAGTAGTATACAACCATCAGCATGTAAAATTTATATTTGCTAAAACTTCATTATGTAGAACAAAAAGTGTGGAATTTTTAATTGGTTGGAACATTTATAATTAAATGTTATTTCTACAGAGCTCATTTCACTAGAATGCAAACATCTAAAGTAATAGCCATGGAAAACGAAGATCAAATTTTGTTTGAATAATGAATAATTATGTTAACTAGGAGTTGATATTAATTTCTCCCACTGGGCTGTGATTGCATAACTTCTCACAAAATTAGCCAGTTACATCTAAAATTTGAGAGTTTTTCTCTATAGATTTACTTGGCTCATCAAACTGGGAATATAATACTGCTAAACCTGTACTTAATAGGGCCAATGAATGTTAAAATACATGAGTTTTTCATAGGAAAATAAGAGCAGATGCAGTTTTCATCCCTAAAGCTGCCTATCATAATTTTTTTAATAGAATGGATAAAAAGTTCCATCCTTCTTAGCACTTGATCATTTGATCTTAGAATTCAAAAGCAATTAATATTGAGCTTTTGAACCTAGTTTTGCTTTGACTTTTTCATTATTTTCTTTTTAATGTTTAAATCCAAAATCAAATTTCCCAATTCTGTTTTAATTCTTTATTCATTTATAAATATCAAATTTAAAGACTGCATATCTCACTCATAAAGCAAATCTTTTCATAGATGCAGCAGTTAGGCTTAAACATCAGTTAAGGTGAAGTTTATTTAACTATGAAATATACAATATACAAAGCCACATTTAATAAATCTCAATAGTTAAACATTCATTAAATTAATATTTAAACACTTATAATTAAATATTATTATATTAATATTAAATATTTAAATAAAAATATTTATTATAGCAATCCCAGTGCCGTTCAATCTGTTTTTGCTTGCATTTTATCAAGTGCTGTCCAAGATCTGAAGAAGGGATTATATTTCAGGTATCCATTGGACAAGCTCGAACACATAGATGACATATGGTCATTCAAGAAACTCTTTTTGCTGATGACTGTGTGATCCTGGCACACAATGACAATGATGATCCATAGTTGATACTGAACAAATTTTCAGACACTGCTATGTTCTTCAGCCTGATTATCAGCCTGAAGAAAACTAAAGTACTTATCATCCCATTCCAAATATAAACTCTGCAGAACCAAGTATCACTGGTGATAACACCCAGCTGACAAATGTAAACAGTTTCAATACACGGGAAACATAATTTTGAATGATGGGTCTTTGGACAAAGAAATATCAGGATAAGCAAGGCCAACTGGGGTCTGGCTTGGCCGCATATTAGAGTGCTCAATCAATACAATGTCTGTATCTCTACAAACCTAAAAGTCTACAAAGCTGTGGTTATCCCTTCGCTCCTATATGGTTATGAATACTGGACTCTGATGACACACCAAACAAGAAGAAATTTCACATACATGCTGTCTGCTGCATTCTTGGCATTCGTTGGCAAGACCATGTCTCCAGACTGGAGGTTCACAAAGTCCACCAGCATTGAATTTCTGATTATCAGAGCCCAGATGTGGTGGTAGGATACATCATCAGAATGGACAAGTTACCATATGCCTCACCAATTGCTAGAGACTGAGAAGAGACATTGAGGTTGTCTACACAAGCACTACAAAGTCACTGTGAGGGAAACCCTACACTATTGTGCTAAACTTTGTACTTCCAGATTGGGATTGCACAGCTAGCTCTATGTTCACAGATGAATTGCACAACAGCATGGCAACAATTTGTTGGTTCATAAATCCTCATTTAGTAAGGCTCTAAGATACCCCACTCCTCTCTTTTTCCTAGCTTTTTAAAGAATAATGGCCATCTGAGGGGAATATAAATGTTTCTTCAAAAACTACACATACAAATAAAAAAAAACCTTAAAATAGTTTTACTTATATTGCTTACACATGGAATAGGAAGATGCTGTTCCCGAAATTAACCATGAAGTACAGAAGCTCTTCCAGGAAAAGGGTAAGAAAAATGAGAAGCTAATTTTCTAGTGGCAACTAGAATAGATACAAACTCTCTGAATGAAATTGGTTTTTCTTTTGTATTTTACCAAAAAAAAAAAACAGTATTAGAGAAAAAAAAATTGCATTTGTTGCAATACATCTGTATGATATCCTATTGTGCCAGATTTCCTTGTTATTTTGCTGCAATAGATTAATTCGGCTCTGCTTTTAGAATCAACATACCTTGTCTGTGTGAAGCGAAAGAGTTGCTGCTGTTTTGCCCTTGGACATGTCCCAAAGAATTACAGAATGGTCAGCTGAGGCACTTGCCAAGACAGATCTAAAAGAAACAAACATATTGCAAACAGTGTCAATGGCAGGTCTTAGATCAACTCATGTTTTACCTTTCTTGTCCAAATACCTATTCAGGTATTATAGACTGCTCAGTCATTTTTGTTTTAATTGAGTGGCAGATAAATTGCCCAATGAATTAAATGTATGAATAAATGTAAGGTAAATAACCAAACAGTTTCTGAAAAAGTATTTGCTCTTTTGAATTTTCTGACATTTTGCATGTTCTTGCTAGGGATTGGACCTTTAAACAGTCCTACTGAATGAAAACCTAGGTTTGATGCCTGTTTCATTCATGTCACAGATAAAATAATCCTATGGGGTATGCCGGTGTAATCCCACTGTCCCTTTCGATTCCATAATTGGTTACATGATTTTTAGCTGCAAGAACTGCAGCCAAACATTCCTGATTATCAGTATCTCAGATTGCTGTATAGGAATTTTTGCCCGATCCTTCAACTTAGTCTCCTGCTGGTTTTAGCCCCTGCCACATTTTTGTGGGATTTAGGTTTGGACTTAATTTGCAACATTTATTCTTCTGAATAATATATTCTTCATTATCCATTCTCTTGATTGTATATTTGGATTATCTTGCAATATGATCTGCTTGATTTCAACTGATACACTGATGACATGATATTGTCCTATAGAAGTCTCTCATCCAGAGCTGAATTCTCACTTGCTTCAATAATGTAACAACTTGCCTGTAGCTTGAAAAGTTTCCTTTTTGATTCATCTGCCTATAGTATATTGCTTAAGAAGCCTATAAAATCAGGTGGTTTTTTTTGTAAACTTGAGGCAAGTATCAAACTTCTTGTGAGCCACTGTTTCCATAGCTGTTCTTGAGTCAATGCTTTCACTTTGCTACACTCATTTCTATGAATCTGGATTTTCCCAAAGTACTTTCCTGGAATCATTTCCTTCAACCAAGGCAAGGAAAGCCTATAGATAAGGGCTCCCCAAGTGCAGCCTGGTACCTCTTGGGAAAATTAACTATTGCTCAAAATCTTTACTTCAAGAATATGTCTCTGACTGGCCCAACGTTTACAGCCTTTTTTTTTTTTTGCCTCAAAAGTCTCAATTATTTTTCTGTAGAGGTCTTCAAAAATTTATTTTGAGTTTGAGGCACACAATATGCTTCAAGATTCTGTGTGGCAAATATGTCACTGTGATGAGGAAAGCCAAAGTTTATGAGACTCAAAGAGCTGCGCTATCCCAAATCAACCCCGTTTAATTCCTTACATAACTGCCTGGCGATTACGCTTCACATTGGCACATCTATTATTATTATTATTATTCATTAAATAAATAAAACAAGTACCACACTTATTTCAAATCTGTACACTTGGATACTATACAATATGTGTGTTTGTGTTTGCACATGAAGTCTTGGTAACATTCAGTAGCAAAGATACTGTATGTAAGACTTTAGAAAATCCAAAAAGTAACAAGTACTTAGCAGAATTGTATTTTTGGAATATGCAATTACTGCCTTTAAGCCAAGATTGAGAAATATATAATGTATTCTATGTAAGACCAATTTTGTGGCTTCATACTGAGTAAATTAAGCCAAACAAATTAATAAACCTGCATAAGTCAAAAGCATATTTCAAAAATACATCTTCAGGAAGATGAATAAAATGATGAAATAAAGACACAATTGCAGCATCCATGGCAATTGTTCTAAAGATATCTTTAATTATGACTTACTTTGATGTAGTGGAAGTCAACTGCGCATTACTTCAATGTGTATGTGAGCTATAGAAATATTTTTACAAGCTTCCAGTTTTACGCAGTAGTGCAAGCAGCCAAGGGATTGCAGGGCTCCACACCCTACGAGCCAATTTTCTTCCTGTTAGGGGACCCTAAATGGGCCTAAAGTCGCCCCAGAGAGGCAACAAAGGAGGGGAGCCCCATCAACTGCGGAGAGACGGCGATCAATCCAGTCATTCATGGAAAGCCCTCCAGAAACCAGCAGAGTCTAGCCCAAGCTACAAGCAGCCGAAACCAAAAAGCACTAATTTAAGCTTGATCGTAAACAACATGTTTGGAACTGGGTAAGAATATTGATTCTCTCTCTTCTATTTGATAACTGATTTCCTGGGTGAAAAAACCCCCAAGAAGCAAAACTCCTCTGAAAGTGAGAAGGATGGGGACTTTTGCCCCACCTTCCCACAGAAGGAAGCAGCGAATTAAACTTTTATGGGGAACAGAATTATATTGAAATGAAATGAATATAAGACTTAAATCTGGATAAGTTTGAAATTGGTGGAATTTATTAAAATTTTCTTTTCAAAAGATTATTGATAAAAATAGAAGAAAGCAATTGCTTGTTTTAAAAACTGAAAAAATGAACTGGTGCTGACATCTAGTGGTGGATAAAAATATACAACTGTAGTTGCTCTAATACAGGAATTGGCAGAAAGCCCAGAAAAAGATAAGTTGTTTTAGTGACCTTCAATGTTTTAACTAAACAGAGAACAGCTGCAACAAAGAAAAGAAAACATTTTGGGCTACCTACAAGGCGAGAACTATAAACCTTAGAAAAAAATTGACCTTCCTGGATTATAAATACTTATTGAACTGTGACTCTAAAGCTGTTTGCAGAGAAAGGAAAACTTTGATTTTTGGCTATCATGGAACATCACAGATCTGCAGAAAGAACATATCAAGAAAAAACAAATATTTTCCAGGAGGAAATGTATGCTATGTTGCAACTAATTCAAATGATAATGATTTCAAACCACGAGGAAATTAAAAACAACTTTGAAAATATAAATGAACACATCTTCAATTTAACCTTACAACAAAACAAACTCTCAGAAAATAAAAATAGAAAGCAATCAAATAAATCAGACAACGGAACATAAATCAGAGGAAAGAAATTTACAGATGGAACCCAACAATAGAAGGAATTATGACTTAACCCAGGTGGAGAAAAACTTGCAGGAAGTATCGGACATGAAAAAGATAACCTACACTTCAAGATTGCAAAATAAGTCTGAGGACAAGAAAAAAGATTCGACAAAATGGATTATAGATCTGTCAGGAGAACTATGAGAACTTGAGAAACAAAAAAAAACGATAAGAGAAATTAAGAGAGAAAGAAAAAGATTTTCAATGAATACAAAGAGGCGAAACCCTCCCACAAAACATCTTACTGGATTTGTCTCTTGTACCTACAACAATATCTACAAACTATGGGAAGACTTTTTGGTCCAGCAGAGCATACTGATTGGGAAATATGTTTTGCAAAAAAAAAAAAAAAAAAAAAGACTAAAGTTAGAAGTAAGAAATTAGATGATGGGATTTATCAGATGGACTATCTAAAGATTGTTTGAATATGGTTAAAAAATAGAAAAATTTTGGATATAAATGTATTTTAGTTTAAGAGGGATGGGCCCCTCAAGTAACATAGTATTTTTTTATGATATGAGAAATATAAAAATGTTGGAATGGTTTATATGAGGAAAATGCTTTAGATACTTAAGTGTAATTGATCTTGAGAAAATCTCAATTGATAAACATGTTTTGAATAGATTCAAAAGATTAGATGATTGGATTTATTAGATAGAATATTTAAAGATTAAACATTTGTTTGAATACAGTTAAAAAGAATAGAAACATTCTGGATATAAATGTATCTTAGCTTAAAAGGGACATGTTTCTTAAGTAGTATACTATTTCCTTCCCTTTTTTTCTTCTCTTCTTTTTTTTTAAGATATGAGAAATCTAAAATTGTTGGGATGGCTTGTATGAGGAAAAAGACTTAAATATTTAAATATAATTAACTTTGAGAAAATCTTAACTGGTAAGAATGTTTTGAACACTGGGGAAAACAAATCTAAATAAGAACTTTGAAAACAGGATCTATGATGAGGTAATTAAGATGACCAATTAGAAAAGAAACTTTATATTGATGTGGTTTTTAAACATTAGAAAAATGTTTATATTCAATTGTTATCTATCAAAATACTAAGAAATGTACTAATTTAAGGTTGATAAAAGAGAATATTATTGGAAGAAGAGAAAATCAAAAAAAGCTGCTATATGGATTATGGAATTATAGAAATTGTTATTGTTTTTAAATATAAACCCAGTCAACATGCTATTTATCAAACATTAAGGTAACTATGTTAAAAAAATCAATAAAATATATTTTTTAAAAAAGAAATATTTTTACAAAACATCATTTATACTAATTTATCTTTAAATATATATATTTTTACCTTAGATGTTTATTCCACGAAAGATCAAGCACTGCATCAGTATGTCCCTGATGGTCTTCTTTGGATAAATTCTTTATGTAAAAAGATTAAGAACTTTTTAGAGTTTCTAAATATAATAACAAAGGATATTAATTCTATAACTCTTGCACAAGTTTCAAAACTTGAGAACCAATCCTTGCCTTTGTTCCTATAGCCTACTGATGATGATTGTTGTAAATAGTCTCAAATATATAAGATTATTCTAATTCAATATTTTCTATGATAGCTGGCAGCAACTATTCTGAGACCCAGACAAGAATCTTTACCCACGGTTTTTTAACAATTAAAATATTTCTAAATATTAAACAGAAAATGAATTTGAAAGTGTGCTATGTAAATAAAATAGGCAGTCTTTCTATCTCAGGAACCACATTGCAATGTCCAGATCCAGATTGGAGCATGCACAGGCACATGTATAGAGAAGCTTTCCTGTGCACACTTATAGTTATCACGAGAAAATTTTCATCAGTGAATGACTGTACTAGGAAAGACAGCAGGGTGGGATAAATCTCACCAACTGTTTTTCTCCAGGAAGTCTGAAACTTGGTGACCAGCAGCAGGCAACATAAAAAGTTTCCAAGAGTAACATTTGTAGCTCATGTATATATGACAAAGACTGAAAAGGCAAGCAACTTTCTTACTGAAAAAGTTTAAACTTTATTAATATGAGGTTTGTTCATACCAACCTTCTTTTGTTTCTTTTTCTTTGTTTTTGCCTTATTTCCTAGTGAAAAGATTGGCTCTAAAGAGTCCACTATGTCAAGATCCCAAATTTCAATAACAGGATTCATTGTGCCAACAGCAATATAATTTCCTAAAGAAATATCCATGTTAATAATGTATAAGTAGGTAAGGGAACTTTGGATCAGGCATGGGCACCCTTACTGTACCTGCTATTCTTAGAAGTAAATGTTAGTTTTTCATTGCTGTCATAACCATGAATGATCATTAAATGAGGCAGTTACTAAATGAAGATTACATGTATTGAGTTAAGGAGGCAGTTCAAGCATATATTTTCTCAGGCCCATGATGTTAGCATACAGGCCCAGGAAAAAATTGCTTATGCCATATCCAAAGCACTGCATACATCTACCAATGTAAATTTCTACTAGTAAATTTATCATCTGATGTCTCTTTAAAGAATGAATTTTATTTTTGTTACTTTAAGCTTTTTTTGAAATTATAGAAAAGATTTCTGTTTATTGCAAGGTTTGAGGTTGAACACATAGAAGCAAATGAATCTTGAAGGGGAGCTCATTCAGATCCATACCTGTTTAAGCTTCACTTTGGTCATTAATTTAATTATCAAAATCTGTCACAGTTTTGGAACTTGATCAGTTTTCCTTGGATTTAGATGGAAAGGAGATGAGTGCTTAAACACTGAAGCTACACATAATTTCTCCCAATAGTCTTATTATGTTACATAATATGGGACACAGTGATATCCTGAAAGACTTTACTTCCTCAGGAAAGATAAAAGACATCAGAAAACAGTGCCTGAAACCTATTTAGCCACTTGATAGGTTATCACAGCCATTGGAAAAACAATATGATCATTATCATTAATACTGGATAATAAGATTCCCTTGTCTACTGTAACATTTAATCTCTTTCCTACAATCCTAAAGGGCAATGCCTGGGAAAATCTACTTCTAAGTTACACAGTTTTAGAAGAGAAACAATCCAGAATGAAAACAGGAAACTGAGGAAAATGATTACTGAGGTAAAAATATAAATGCTCAGTGAAAAAAAAATGAAAATGAAAATATGTGATAGATAACAAGAAAAAAAACACATAAAAACAAAAAATATTTGTTCCCAACTGTCTCTCTCTGCACTTTCATATAGATGTCCCCTGCTAATTTGGGTATTATTAGAAATAAAATGGTACAACTTACCTGCAGAATCATTGGGATTAGGATCAAAGTTCATCCATTCCACACTTAAGGGGTATGCAGATAAAATAAGATCATGATGGACATAAAAGGAATCTTCTTCATGATTATAAACTGAAAGAATTAAGTAACTTCCTTTAAGTAAATAAAAAAATCATACTCCCATTATACAAATGTATAAAACAAATAATACGCTTGTTATTGAGAAAAGAATAAGATTAACATTATCATTATATAACAAATCAAAAATGAAATATGGGAAGATATTTCTGAGTTCCTTTATAGAAACTATATTTTTCATCACAAAAAGATTGTCAAGCATATGTTGTAATCTTTCCTCTCTCCTACCATTTGCAGATTTCTAGACAAACAGAACTCAAAAGGAATGCACTTTGAATAAGTCTTCCACAGGTTGACAATATCAGTACTAATCATATTAGATTTACTTATTTACACCTCTGCATTTATTAGTCTTATGCTATCCAAGAGATGATCCAATAAGCAATACAAGAAACAGCTGAGCTCAAGGACAGTAATAAAACATGCTAAGACTCCAAGGAACTGCTGGTCAAAACAAACACAATTGGACCAAATGGATAAGTAGCCTGATCTAATATAAGCAATATTTCAATGTTATGTTTCAATATTATGAAAGATATATAAATTATTCCAAAATATGGAAAAGAAACTGTGAGAAAGTGCAAGACTATAAAATTATTTTCCCACCAAATGCATTAAGAGAATATGGGGAAGCGATTTACAAGAAACAACATGATTCTATGAAATAGATTATAAACAAATACGTATAGTTTTACACAATACCAACTGATCAATCTGTAATATAAAAATATTATTCAAATTATTTGTGTTCTCATTTTTGAGAAACGGTATGAACCACCTGATCAGAATCTGTCAAAAAATCTGACAGTAACACATAATACATCAAACTCAAAATATAGGACCTCAAAACAAATAGCAATTGTGGTCTTACAGCAATCCATGTCCTGTATATAAAATCCTTTTTTGGGAGAAAGAGGGAAGAATTTAAGCATAGAGTTCACTGTTACGAATAAAGAAAATATAGGGAATCAACTTAAGTTAATGAATAAACCATCCATACCTTCCATAGTTCTTTGTTAAAAAGCCGCAACAGTTTAATACCTACCATGAACTTCTAGACTGCAGTGGTCCTTATCTACTCTGCCGCATACCACAAGATTGTCATTTGACTTGATCACAAAGTCTTCTTTTTCATATTGGTCCTAAAAGAGTGCAAGTTGAATATGATTTATTTTTAGTCCAATTTTCAAAACCTTATTTTATCATTGTACTTAACAGATGTCAAGAAACAATTTTAGGTGCATACAAATATTTGGGAATGCTTATTAGTCTTTTAAAGACTAACTGAAATCAGTTGTGTTTTGAAAGATAATTTATGTCACCTAATAAAATACTAAGAAAAACCATTTGTGCACTTCTTCCAATCCCAGACTAAGCTTTCACAAATTTGAAAATAAAAGGTATTCAAAAACAGCAAATGAAAATAACTGTATGTGAGGATACAACTAAAATAATTACAATGGAAAGATAATTGGGAACAGTACAAAATTATGACTTGAGGCATTCTTGTGCTTAAAACAGAATATTCAACATTAATATAGCCCAAATAAACATATATTAGAAAAGCAGTTTATATCAAGTATGTTGTTGAAAAAGAAACCCAGAAATACTACAGTATAAAAAAGACAGATGTTCTTTTCAAGTTGATTAATCTGAAAAATTTCTTCAAATAATGATATGCCTACCACTCCTAATATTGAATGTTATCTTTAGCCAGTATTAAAACTATGTTATTAAACAGTCTCCAGTGTTATTAAGCCATGCTTTAATACTCACAGTATCTTTAATAGTGATATATGGATCATTTTCATTAGTTCCATATACTGCAAGCCCTGCAAAAATCTCTCCAATGCCCTCTGTACCTATTATATGACAAACAGATTGTTCTTGATCAGACTCGTAATTGTGAAACAAGTAGCATCTTTTGTAAAGAGACTCGATTGCACATTCTTGAATAGAGAACCTGTTTGTGTACAGCAGGAAGGAGAGATAAATACCTGCATTTTCTTCATCATAGTTATCCAAGTCATATTCTGCCAATTCATCATTATCTAGCTTATCATTGTCTTCATCTTTGGGAGCAGAGCTAGCTTCCTCACCATCAGCAACATCCATGGCACCTGAGGTTTCTTCTTGTCCACCTCCATCATCATCATCACCATCACCATCTTCTGTCCTTCATGTAAAAAAGGAAGTTAACAATATTTTCACTAATCTTGCATAACTTAACATTAAAATGTCACTGTCTAATCTTTAGTTGTTTGTACAATTCCAAATTGTTTCTGTGCCAATAACTTTGCAGGTTCCACCTATCTCACTTTATAGCATCCCAGGTAAATATGAAGCACAGGATTGAGTTGTAAATCTGATGTTATGCACTTGGAGATAAATTTAGATCAATGACACAGTTGCAATCCCATAGAGACTTAACAATCAATTTCCTTTAACCGGAAAATGCTTATTTGTGTCAAAAACAATCACATTCCACAGCAGTCTCTTCCTCACAAAAAACAGGGTTTCAATATATTGAATGTATGTTCAATATATGTTAATACATTTATAAAACCTTATTAGACATCACTTCTAATCATATGTAATGATCTGGGGGTTTTTTCATTCCAAAATTCTATTATAGAGTATCCCTGTTTTTATTCTTTTTCTTCAAACCTGAACTGATGGTTTACTTTTGGCAGTTTGCGTCAATAGTATATTCAATCACAAAGATTTTTTCCATTACTTCTACGCTAAAAATTTCATATATTATTTTCATATATCGCTACCACAATTCCATGCTACTGGACTTATGCTATAGATCACTCAGTCTAGTTTATATATTTACATTGGACAAATGTAATTAGACACAAACTAGATTTTAACTTGACTATTATTAAATTGAAGAAATACAGATGTTTTGCTGTAAATTGACTTTTTACTGCAGACATGTCAAACACAAGGCCCGGGGGCCGGATGCGGCCCGCGAAGTAGTTTCATGTGGCCTGCGAAGCTATCCTGGAAACAGTGAGGGAACGGCCCCCACTGCCTTGGCCCTGGCCCAGGCCGGCCAGGAGCCAATGTACAATTTTGTGGTGGCCATCTATGCTGAAATGCATTCAGTCTTAGCTCCACAAGGCCGTCTGGAAAGAGCAAGGAACCTGTCGGCCCTGCCCCCTGGGTGCATGCTGGGGAGGTGTCACCCTTTGTGAGGAATGAAGAAATGCACCATCGCTTGGAAGTGGCCAGCAAATGGCCCTCGGCTACTTCATATATCCAACTTGATAGGCTCCAGCGGAGGGGTTTCAGCAGGCAGTGAGGCTCCTCCAGTGGACTATGCCTTAGCACTTGCCCCAGTCCCACCCCTTCTACCAGAGACCCAGATCTGTCCCACTCCTGCCCAGGTCTCCACAGGCACCCTTGACGCGAATGACGTAGAGCTGGCCATGCCCACCCAATAGGTCACACCCACTCTGTCCACAACCATCCAGTAGGCCAAACTCACCCGGTCTCCCCGAGGGCAACCGCAATGCTAATGCGGCCCTCAATGAAATTGAGTTTGACACCCCTGTTTTACTGAATATCAGCTTTCTCAAGCTATTGTTCAAATGCAACCCAAACATACTGCAATCTGTCTTTAGCTTCAGTAATCAAGCGCTTCAGTTCTTCCTTGTCAAGTTGTACCTGCAACATAAACATGAAAAATAAAGCCTCCTATAGTTAAATCAAGCTTGACACTTGAAAAACAAGCCATTTCTGAAATGCGTTTCATCTAACATATTTTAATTAAGATTATTATATCTATTATATCTATTTAAAATGAAATCGCAGATCTATAGTTTTTTATATTGCTTTATTACTGTCTCCTGGTTGCCCATATTCTTGGTCCTCAGGTATGACAGCTCTGTTTCAACCACAGTCCATTTCTGACAGCTTGCTTTAAAAAAATCCAGTCTGAAAAAATAAGCTGTAAAACTCTCTAGAAAGTCAAGTATTATATACAAAAAAATGTGCCCAGGAAATGTAAATGAAGACATTTAGGTGCAAGAATGACTATAGAAACAAACCAAAATGAAATAGTTAAAGTATTATGTGATAATCTCTGATACACTATAAATTAAGGGAAGGCCTTTCAACGATGATAAACTAAACAATTCTATATGAGGGACAACTATAAATGCAGAGAATTACATGTAAGTATTAGGTTAAAACCTGGGGAATTATGGATACTATGTAATACAAACAAGAACAATGGAAACAGCAATAGTTGTATTCCATGAAAACCCAAATCCAAAGTTATTGCTGTTCTATACTGTTACATTACTGAATTCGAAATTGTTTTGGTAGATTACTCTGTTCGCTACACATAATTGTAAGATATTATGAACTGGCTTCATAAACGGGGACAAAATATTATGCCTGTGGAAAATACAAGAGCTGTGTGTACTCTACCTTGCAAAGTTCAATAGTACCAGAAACTAATACCATGCAGTTTTTTGGGTTTCTGATTTTCAAAGGAAAAAGCAAAAATACAACCCCTTTTCTTAATTTAGAAGCCTTAAATTTAAATTAGCCTTAATTAAAACAAATATATACGAAATACATGCTCTTGAACTTGGTTGACTTCATTTCAGAGATCAGACACGGTGGAAATGTATACAATCATCTTCTCTTCTTTCGCTTTCCACATTGCCGTCCCTGCTGTTTTTGCATAGCAACTAATTTAGCCTAAAGCATTCACTGCTTTGCTGCCCGAAATGTCTGTAGGAGCTCTGAAATGAGGGGAGGTGGGGCTCTCTTCCGTCCTCACCTTGTCGGGCGTCTCCTTGGTAACACCTTGGGACACCCAGGCAACACAAGTTACGGGACGACTCATGGCTCTAACCGACCAGGAACCGAGCAGCTAAAAAAGGCTTCCCCGTATGCCGACACGTGCGTTGCCGACTTCCTATTCGGCCCACTGAATCTTCCTGCTGACGTCCCCATGAAGCCGAAACACCCACCGTCGCCGGTCAAGAGCGCTACAAAATACTATAGGCCTCAGGGAGTGAGGTCATCAAGAAACGACACGTGAGTCTCCGCCCCTTCACTATCAAGAAAGAGATCTCAGCAACGCCCCTCCCACCCTGCAACGTCACTGGTACACATTTGAGTGGCGGGAGGGACATCCTTTTAAGTCCAACCTGGACTGAGCGACCTTCTGCAGAGCGATTCGCGTCTTTCTCTTTGTATTATGCAAGTTTCGGCTTCTTACCAGATTGAATGTTACCCCCCCTTCTTACCCCAACCCCCAAAAGGGAATGAATTAAATAAAATTCATGGGAAATATCATGTCTAAGTTACCATTGTACTTTGGACGGATTTCCATTTTGCTTTCTGATCCATATAGAATTAGGAAAACTGTTTTTACGCTTACTTATTTTCTTATTTTAAAGTATTTAAATGGCCGCCCAACTCGAATATGACCTTCTGACAGGTGCAAACACATAACAACAGAAAATACCGTATAATGCCAACCAAAAACAGTTGCGAGAATTGATCGCTGATTAGGGACTCGGCGATCTTTGGGTATGTTTAATTTAATTTGAAGTTGCTGTTGACTCGATTCTTGATTATACGTGTACGGTACTGTAATTTTCTTGGCATGTTACATAAGAAAGTTTTGTCCCCACCGTTTCGCTAAGCTGTTTGTTTCTAATAAAGGCACTGCAGAATCTTGAATGCTGACATCTGATCTGACTTCCCTGGAGACTCCCTGTAAATGCCTTGCAACTACTGTATGTAATTCAGAAACCGAAGTGGTACAATATAGTTTATATGCAGATCATTGTTATGACAAAAACAGCAAAGGGTCTAATTTTGCAGAATGGTAGCCATGTAAATCTGTTGCAGCAAAGATGATAAATTTATGGTTAGTTAGAAATTGTGGTGAACAAGATTTCAGCTTACCACAGCATGTCTCATAGTAATATATATTGTGGTGCGAACAGATGTATAAAGTGGTTTCTAGCTTAAACTGGTATTTAGTTTAGAGTGTTCTGCAAGCTCAGCCAATTATGACACCACAAACCAAGGCTTTAAAAATGGCTATGCCTGTTCTCCTGCTTCTCTTTCTTACTTTTTCCTTATTCCTTGTGCTTTGCCATCTTTCTTATGTCTCCTTTAGTGACTTCTCATAAAAGAGTTCTGACTCACCAGAATGGGTTCCAATGACCTTGATTCATTGGGTTAGTTTATCTTTTGTTAAACTATAATTTAACCATGATATCGGGATTGACATGACACACTAAACTGAACTTATACCAGTCACAAGCCCATATAAAATGTGTTTGTAGACCCAATGAAAATGAAAGGATTTCCTGTCTTTTGTCAAACTGTAAAGTCAATAGCTAATGAATATAAGATTTTTGCCATCTGATCACACAAGACAAGTTTATCCATAAAAACATATTTTAATTCTAACAATTAATTAAAGATCATATACCATTGTTGCTCACAACAGTAATATACAATTCACACAAAACATGGCTGATCTGACAAGAATGTTTTGCAGGCTGACTATATATATGTGTGTATAGACAGATAATATGGTTAGAGATAGATATCTTTCTTAAGGAATTTAATATACCAGAAGTCATGCAAATAATTTTACAGCAGTAAACACAATAGGAGCAATCACTTGTTGACACACCCAAAATCATTCAAATACAGAAACAGTCATTTGATAAATATATACATACACTGTATTTTTGTTATTCTTTTTGTGGTCCCTTCTAAATATATATATTAAAGCATTGCTCCCGCCCTGCCAGGTCCTTATTAAAGACAAATCCAAAAATAGGATTTGGAGTATTTTCTACCAATATTGACCACCAGTATAAATTCTTGAGATATCTAACCTTAAATCCCTATTATATTTGAGGCACTTAACCATTGGTTGAGAATTGGGACAGGAAAAGCCAATACAAGTATTCATCTCCAAACAAATATTAATTCTGATCTATAATTCTGGATCATTTGAAGTCAGAAGTTGTCTTCGCCACATAAAATCTTCTCTTGGCCTGATTGCATTCATATTCAAATATGAGTTTTAATCTGTATTACAGAAAATGCCAACATTGCAGAGGAGCATGAGATACATTCTAGGGGGGCACACTCAGTTCTTGTGCAGTGTTTCACCCTCTATAAGCACGAGGCTGCTCTGTAGCTTTTGCGCTCTCTTAGAATCGTTTGCAAAGGATAAGAATTCAGAGTAAACCATCGGGTCTTGTGCAGTAAAGAAACTGATTAGAAAAGGCTCTCATCACTACAAAAGTTGAAAACCACCAACTGAGAAGCATAACTTCAAGAATCTGGATCTCCTTCAGTAGTGCACAGCACCAACAATCAGTTGAGCAGGATAGAGAATGCATATTAATACAAGCATTTTTTAAAAAATATCAAGATGCAACATATTTTACTTCTTTTATTACCCTGGTGTGTTCCTAACAAATTTTGTTCTCTTCTATCTTTTATTGCAAAATCAATATATTTAAGATCTATACAGCAATTAAGCCATCATGCTGAAACTTGAAGCCGACAAAAATTAACACTTTGAGTACAGCTATAAAAGCTTAACTCTTTTGTGCCACAAGACCATTGACATAAAACAAACAGCCAACTACTGACCTAGATATCAGTGCAATCCTTGGCAACAAACTCCATAGTTACAACTAATACATTTTTTTTACATGGGAGATTGCATTGACAGAACAACAGGTGTCACTAAAGCTATTCATTTTATGTTAACTAAAATGAAAGGAAACAAAAGTATTTGTTGTAGAAGGAAATGGATTTTCATGCTACTCTGCTACAAATAAGGTTTGAAAAAGAAACAAGTTTATATAATTCTTACATATCAATTTAAAAATTCAGTCAAGAGGTGGATCACATTCTATTATATGCCTTATCAGTGATACAATTTAGAATTTATGTTCTCTTTCATTTTCACTCACAAGTTGCATGTATTTTACATTGTTAGCTGGTCTGAATTCATTAAAAATAATTCAGGAAAAAATACCAGCTTATTCTGAATCAAGAACTATGTATATGGAGATTCTCAGTCACAAGTCACCCAGGTCATGATTGTCCCAAGGGTGCTTTGTTCACGAGGCAACTGGACTTTTCTTGTTTTCTTTGAAACGTCTTCAAAGAAAAACAAAGTCCAGTTGCCTCGTGAAAAAAACACCTTTGGGACAATCAAGCACTATATTTCTTTTAAAATCCATTATTTTAACATTCATTCCCCTCCTACAACATCTCTCTAATCTTCCACAATTGCCATTGCCCCCGTTTCGCTTTTAATAAGTAGAATGTTGATTTCTCTAAGTCAGTATTTCTCAATCTCAACAACTTTAAGATTTGTGGACTTAAATTTTCCAATTCTGATTGGGATATTCTGGGCATTAAAGTCTGGACATCCTAAAAGTTACTGTGGTTGAGAAACACTGCTCTAAGCTGTTAAAACATGCCTAAGTCTGCACTTTTACCCATCCCCAAAAAGCAATGAATAGGCTGAATGCATTAAACTGCAGGTTCTCTTAAAAGTTCTAGAAGCTTAAAACACAGTTACAGGTTAAGAAATAGAGCCCTATTTAATCTGTAACATTTATTCAGCTTCAAACCTCATTACTAATACCATGGATTTTTTTTTAATAAGTCTATTTATAGACAGAAAATGAATACAAAGTCAGAGCTTTGTGTCACCGTGATTTGCTGGACTGACTTGGCAACTCAATTTTATCTTGCTATTTCCATACCATAGTACCTAACAGAACAAAAGTCCATAAAAAATTGAGGAGAATCAGGACAATGAATCGTTCTGGGCTGTTCTGCCAAAGGAAAGGACATATTTTGCTATCTATTGCTGGTGAAGAAAAATTGTCTGGCATTATATAGCTTTAATCTATCAGTTTAAATAAAGACTATATATACTATAACAATATTTCTAAACCATCTTTTGATCATATAAATTTAGGGCAGGAGTGAATAAATTATTTTCAAGTAGTTTTTGTTGTGCTTTCTAGAGTGCAAAGGGTATGGTGATGCAAGATTTCAGCACTGGAAGTAGTGGGGAGAATATGACACATTTAGAGTTGAGGGAATTTTAATTGAAATGCATTAAATTGAGGTTTAGCATGCCTATATTATTCTTTTTGGTGTAAAAAATATAGAAAATACCAAGCAATCCCCCATCACATTTTCATAACTGCTGGAATATAATTTTATTGGTTTGGCACCATATTAATGGCCAACTGCCTAGTTTAGAACAAGGGCAATAAGACAGATGAAATATTCGCAGGATGAAAGGATAGGGTTTTTTTTCCAGAAAAGAGCAAAGTATCTCTGATAAAGGTTTTCACTGAGAGCATAATCTTGTAAATAAGTCAAATATACTTTCCAGCTCCTATTCTATTTGTTTAGTTATTTATTTGTTGGTATTGTAAACAGATTTATCTTGGAAATACACTGTAGCAATTTTAGGAGAGTCTCCCCAATCACTCAACGCATCAGAATAATGCTGTAGATCCTAAATCATATTATATATGCTTATTAATAAGGAGTTTGGATAAACATTTGCTAGATCTCAGGGGAATATAATCCTAGTTTTACTGGTTTGTTGTTTCAAGGAGCTATTTTAAAAGTTGCAAGATCCAATTTTAAAATTGGATTTTAAAATATATATTTTAAAAAAATCTATTAAAACACTATTTTAAAAGTGTTCACATTTTAGAAAAAGAAACATTCCATATTTGCTTTCAGCTTTTAACTTTAGATCAGTGGTTCTCAACCTGTGGGTAGGGACCCCATTTGGGGTCAAATGACCCTTTCACAGGGGTCACCAAATAAGGCTGTCTGCCATTTTTTCCCCTTTTCTTTGGCCACGCCCCTGGCACCCGGTGATGTATAAGTGGTTGGGGGTCACCACAACACGGGGAACTGTATTATGGGGTCGTGGCATTAGAAAGATTG